ATCTCAATATAAAGAAAACAAAAATCCTCGGAACTGGATCTATAAGCAGCATCACCATAAATGGAGAAAAGACTGAAATTATCAAGAACTGCTCATTGCTTGGTTCTATAATCAACACCAATGGAAGTAGAAGTCAAGTCATCAGACCACGTATAGTACTGGGCAAATCAGCTGCAAAGGACCTCTTTCAAATGCTGAAGAGTAAAGATGTCTCCTTGAGGACTAAGGTGCACCTGACACAAACCATGGTATTTTCAGTGGCCTTCTATACATGTGAGAGCTGGACAATTAATGAGGAAGACTGAGGAAGAGTTGATGCTTTTGAGTTGTGGTGCTGAAGAACGCTGAAAGTACCATGGACTTCTAAAAGATCTAACAAATCTGTCCTAGAGGAAGTGCAGCTGGAATGCTCCTTGGAAGCGAGAATGGCCAGACTTCCTTTCACCTACTTCGGTTATGTTGTCAGAAGGGGCCGTTCCCTGGAGAAGGACGTCATCCTTGGTAAGGTGGACAGTCCACGAAAGAGGGGAAGGCCCTCAACGAGATGGATTGACGCAGTAGCTGCAGCCATGGGCTCAGGTATAGCAAGGATCCTGGAGGTGGCGCGGGACCGGGAAGTGTTTCATTCTGCTGTATGTGGGGTCGCTGAGTCGGAGAGGACTCCCTGGCACCTAGCAACAACAACAACAACAACTTTTGAAAATGTCTCAAAGCTGTCTGGCTTCTTTGTTATAGTGTCAGTTCCCTCAGCTGTCTCTGACTCCTTTGGGCCTGTATGTTTATTTCAGCTCCGCAGGAAGAAAACCAGAACTCTGAAGGGAAAATGGTTGTGAATAGCTACATCCCAGGCTGCTGGGCCTGGGAAGGCTAGGCGGGAGGGCAGGCCGCACAGCAGCGTGATGCCGCCAGGGGGCGCCAGAGGCCTCAGCGCGAGCGCTCGGGCTCCTCCGCCCGCCGACGCCGCGCCCGAGCGAGCTAGGAACCAGCAGAGTCAGAGCGCTGTAGGCTCACAAAGCCGCCGGACGCGCAGCGGCGGCGGGTGACAGGAGCGCAGAGGGGCGAGCCGGCTTATTACCCTTCTTGGCGACCGCGCCGCAGGAGCTCGAGCAGCTCGGACGGGGGGGACCCAGGCTCGCCCCCAAGGTACGTGCTCGCGGAACCTCGCGCCCCAACTTGGCGTAGTTGGGTCCTCGCTGCAGCCACGCTGGTTGCTGGAAGGGTCAAGGCCTGGGGGTATCTGCGCGCGCCCCTTTTATGCCGAGGCCTCAGAGTGAGCGAAGGGAGATCTCTTCCCTTAGCTGCAGCCTGGAAACCCCCAGCTGCCCCCCCCCCCACTCTCTCTCACCCAGGGCTGCTACTCGGAGCTATTTCCCTTTCCCTTGCCCCAAAGCTGTGGGCACCGTCTATGGGAGGGCGACCAGCAGATCAAGGGCTTCGCGTTTTTGAGGAGGGGTACCGAAGCCCCTGATTTGAGAACAGCGGTCTATGGGGCATCCGGAGAATTCGTTAGAGCGTTCCTCTGTAGTTTGACAGCAGCCCCCTAATTAGTGACGCAGTCTCCTCCTTTGCAAGGGACCCTCATTTATAAGAAGGGGCCCTAGGTCTCTAGATCCGCGGTGAGAACCCCAAGTGTGTGAGAGGTGACCCTATCCCCGCCTGTGAGAGCGCGGTCTTTCCCCCACCGCCTCCCATAGCAGGATCCCGTCTGGGAGGCGCTCAGACGTCTGGGTGCCCGGCGAGGGGCCCTCCTGGCTTACGCCCCCGCGTGCGCCCTGTCTCCGGTCCCTGCAGATGCCAGCGATCGCGGTGCTCGCGGTGGCGGCCGCGGCGTGGTGCTTCCTCCAAGTCGAGAGCCGGCATCTGGACGCGCTCACGGGAGGCGCGGGCCCCAACAACGGCAATTTCCTGGACAATGACCAGTGGCTGAGCACTGTCTCCCAGTATGACCGGGACAAGTACTGGAACCGCTTTCGAGACGTGAGTACCGCCAGCGGCGGCCCTGCGGGGGCCTCAGAAGCGGGATGGGGAGGGTGACTGGTGCAGACCTCCCACAGGCGGCTTGTCTGTCCGTGGTTTCCGGACTGCCTCTTGCCTGAGAGGAACTTTAAAGAGAACTTGGAAGGCTTGATACTCTTGTATGTTACCTGTGGTGCAGGTGTATGTATTTCTTTGTAGGACTGGGAGAGGTAACTCGGTGGAGGAGCAGCTCAGCTTCCCAGAAAGGGGATCGCTACGCTCTAGAGTTTCTCCTGACATTGGTGGCTGGTATTGCCAAGCCCCTCAGGGAGCCTCTCTGCAGCAGGAGGAGTGATTTGGACCATCTCTAGGGTGTGCCAGAAGAATCCTTGCTGGAGATGTTAGGTTAGGGGTGAGCCCAGGTCATTTATTAGACCTGAAGAGTAGTATGGGAGGAGATCTGGGGGCTCATGGCAATGGGCCTGATAAAATGTTGTGGGGCACGATGATTTGTACCCTTGGAGTCTTTGGGGGAACAGAAAGGGAGCAGATGTCACATGGAGCTGGTCTTCTGCCCTGAAAGGGAATCTGGGTGGCAGAGGATTGCTCCTCTGGGGGAGTCCTGGGAGGGCTGAAGGTAACAGTGATTCCTGGGCACCCAGAGGCACATATACAGTACTGCCTGTTTTTGCCCCATAGCTAGCTGCCACTCCACAGAATGTGGGTCAAGAGACACCTGGCTCAAAGCACTTTCAGCAGATGGCATCCCCTCTGTCCTTGTGGAAGCTGCTGCCAGCTCCAAGGGTGCCCCAGGTGCCTAGTGCCATGCCCTTCTGGTAGGGGACCAGAAAGAAACTTTTATGGTACTTAACATAAGGATTCCTGTCCCTAAGAAAGATCCATACCGCAGTGTCCCTTGTTCTTGTCACAGGACATGATTTACAGGGTCTTTGCAGGGAAAAATGTGTGAGCCACTCTTCCTGCACTGAATTCTTCTTAACCCCATTCCCAGTATCCCCAGCCCTTATAGGGAGAGATTGTAAGAATTAAATGAATGCTAGATCTTTTCTTGAACTTTTAAAGCTAAAGAGTACCCCTTCCAGGTCCCCTCCCAGAGGAGGATGGTTATCCTTCTCTGTTTTCCTTCTCTCTAGTCAACGATAGGTTGCTTCTCTTTGAAAAGAGCTTTCAAACACCTTTGGTAAACTTCCAGAGTTGTTTGGGATTTTAATTTTGCAGCAGATATGCCCCCCTCAGACTCCTGGCACACTTCCCCCCTGTCCCTGACATGCTCTGTTAACTGTCTTTGATCCCCTTTTTTTGCTCAGCCTGGAAATTTGGCTTGTTTAGTGCTCTTAGGAGCCCTGCACGGGTTGCTTTTGCCTCTGGCTGACAAACATGCCCAAACTGTGGTGCTTTTATTCAAGGACTCACATGGGGTGGAAGTGATTTAGTCTGACTTGTTTTCTTTCTTTTTTGAGCACTACATTTTAGACAGAGTAAAGGAACAGGGCAGTTGCTACACACTGATAGAGAAGGAAGAATTGGGTAAAGGACCACCTTTGCCTTGATTCACTTGGTAGCTGGGTGGGATTGAAGGCACCTGTGCTTGTTGAATCTCTGGGCTGTAGAAAGATTTACTGTACTTTTGTGTCTGTTCAAGATTTTCTAGTCTTAATACATCCTAAGCACAATATTCTTAATTCCTATTCAGCTTTAAATTTGAAAAACTTGAACTTCTCTTCATTTCTTGCCTTTCTTGGCAATGGATTCATTTATTTTTTATCCTTGGCTCAGTGTTTCTCCCAACCTGACTCACCATGAGGCTCACCTGAGGTCTTTGTTAAACTCTATTATCCAGGTTCCTCTCCTGCAGATTCTGAGCCCATATATTTGGGTGAGTCCTGGGAATGCATATTTTCAACAAATGTATCTGATAATTCCTATGATGTTTGGGAAATACTGCCTTAAAGGAGCTGTGGTGGTGAAGCGCCTAAGTCATTTGACTGTTAACCAAAAGGCTGGCCGTTCAAACCCACCAGCCACTCCTCAGAAGGAAGATTACTGCCTTAGATATCATAAAATCTTTTATGTTCACATTCACCCTTTTCTGTTACTAGAGCAATTTTAGCAACAAACTAATATTTTGAGAAGCATATATATTTTTAAAATGACAATTTAATCCATTATACTATTATTATAAACATCTAAAATATATAAAATATTCCAAATATCCTCTACCATTGCTTCATGGATCCTTCTGAGGCTAGCACTGGCTCAGCCATACTTTAATTCCACTCATCTTCTTACAGTGCTGTGAAACTCAAACCAGATGCTCTTTTAGGACAAGTCCAAATGTCTCCAGTTGGATCATTTGCTTGAAATAACCAAAAAGCCTGGGTCCCCTGGGACCAGGGAATAAAAGGCTGCTTTTATAGAAACTGGCTATTCAATGAGCAATGGACAAAGCCCCATCTAGTGTTCCAGTCTCCTAGCCAGCTTGATCATTTGCACTGAGCCAGGCCTCCTTTGAGGTTGACAAAGCCCCAGCTTCTTTGCTGTTGTTTTGTTGAAGCCACTGATAACTTTGAAGAACTGTGCCTGAGATTATTGTTATGAAACTTGTCAATTTTTAAAAGGCACTGTGAAGAAAACTTGCACCCCTTCTGCTCCCAATTTGTCTGTTTTTGAACTTGGAGGAAAGATAATTGGAAGTGATTTTTGAACTTTGGAAACTGAAAGCTAAGGGTCCTTTATAGAGAGTTGATGGTACCCATTGGGTGTTGTTGCTCAGTCAACTTTGAAATAATGATGGTGGGATGTGTGCTTCATGCTCCCCTGATTGCTAGTCATGCTGTTACTTTGCTGGGGGTGACTTGAGAACCTCTACTTAAATTTTTGAAATGTTTCCTGTTTTAGGCATGCAAATAATTACTATTGCCTTCTTTCCAGAACTAAAACCTTCAGAAGTACCCCATGGCTTGTTTCCGGAGTGATAGATCCAGGAGAAATGTGACAACATTCAGATGATCGTTCCTAAATGTATTTGTGGTCTGTTAGATTTGCCATTATTCTTTATCTATTGGGATGCTTTAGCCAGACGGAGACGACCCAGACTTTTGTACAAATACAGTATTAAGAAGGAGGAGATGAAGAAGGCAGATGCTTGCAATGAGATGTATAATAATTATTTCCTGTCTCCAACTGTTATGCATTTAACTCCTCCATGGTTTGGGGTTGAAAGGTCAAGATGCCACACCCTTTCTCCCATCTTTTGTGAATCTCATTGAGCTTTGGTTTTCTACAACTGTTATTGTCAGATTTCCCTATGTTTATTCCTTCATTCTTTTGTGCATTCATTCATTCCCACAAATATTTTACTGCTTCCCATTCTTACACTGGGTTCTAGGCTGAGCAAGAAAAAGAAATGTGATCTTTTCTCTCTGTAACCTTTTATCCCCTGGATGAAATCCTTTAATTTATTGTCATACATGTCTTTCTTACTCTGTTTTCTTTTTAAAAAATGTTTTTTCTTATTATAAAACTACTATGTGTTGGTTGTATAAAAAATAAAACATGGCAGAAATAGAGTAATAGCTAATATTTATCTAGCACTTAAACCAAACAAAAAGAAGAAAAAAAACAAACCCAGCATCGAGTCGTTTCCGACTCATAGAGAGCCCCATTGGGTTTCCAGGGCTGTAAATCTATAAAAAAGTAGGTCGTCCTTCATGTGCCAGATATTATTTATGGTATTTTACATATATTATCTCATTTAACAGGAGCTCTGGTGCATAGTGCCTAAGTCACTTGACTGCTAACCAGAAGGCTGGCAGTTCAAACCCACCAGCCACTCCTCGGAAGGAAGGTTGGGCAATCCTATTTCTGTAGTGATACTGCTTCAGAAACCCAAGGAGGGGTCTCTATGAGTCAGGGCCAACTCGACGGCATATAACAACAACAACAACTGGTGTCATAGGGGTTAGTGCATTTGACTGCTAACCAAAAAGTCAGTGGTTTAAACCTACTGGCCACTCTGTGGGAGAAAGATGAGGCAGTCATTAAGATTTACAACCTTGGAAACACCATGGGGCATTCTACTCTGTCCTAAAGCATCACTGTGAGTCTGAATTGACTCGATAGCAGTGGATTATCTCATTAATATTTATAACAATTCTGTGAGAAAAGTTCTATTATTGCTATTATTATTATAATATTACTATTATTATAATAAGTACTACTATTTACTGAGAGGTTAAGTTGCTTGCCTGAAATTACAGAGCTGAGAAGTGGAGGATCCTGGATCGGGACCAGGCAGTCTGACTCTGGAGTCTAACTATGTACTGTACCCAATAGAGTTGAATGGATTTTGATGGTTAGTCTCCCCTGGTATCACATTGTAAGTCTTTCCTGCTTTATGCCTGAGGGAAATCACAGAAGAACCTTAAGTTACAAGAAGATGGAATGGGAAGCCAGGTGGACACAGCTTTTATTGTGGGGGATCACATCGAGGCTTATCTTCTCCTAATAACGAGCTTCTGATTTGATTAAAATAATATTGTTGCTTACACCAAACATGACATTTTCTTTCTCTTGCACACATGAAACTAGCCCTGACATTTAACTCTAAGATAATTACCTTTAGCCAGTCTGAAGAATCAGAAGTCTTGCCTTGGCTGGCATTTATCTTACTCCGGAGTGACCTGAGTTTGTAATTCTAATGAGACCACAAGGACCCGCCCACGTTCTTTTTCTTTCTAGCACATACTCTGGGATTTGGTGGTCTCTGTAGCAGATCTGGGGTGGCAGCAAGCATTTTATCTGCTCATTTGATCTTAACATCTCAGCTATAATGAGTTTCAAGGGCAAGTGGGGCTTATTGATAAAACAGTGGCTGACTCAGTCTGTGGGGCTGGAGACAACAGAGGTGGTATGGCTTAGTGGATCAGTCATTAATCTGTCGCCACATAAACTCCGTTTGTAATCGAGAGCAGCAGAAAATCATTTTGATTAAACAGGTG